TCTGGGATTCCCATTCTTCTCAGAGTCAGCCACAGTTTGTTATGATCCACGCAGTCAAATGCCTTGGAACAATCAATGAAACACAGAGAGACATTCTTCTGGTATTCTCTGCTTTCAGCCAAGATCCATCTAACATCAGCAACAATATCCCTACTACCACAACCCCTTCTAAACCCAGCCTGGACTTCCGGCACTTCTCTGCTGATGTGCTGTTCTAACATTTTATTACAAATTACAACAAATTTTTATTTATTGATTTAATTAAGACACAATTAATTGTCATTGTTAGGTGCCATCCAGTCAAGTACAACTCAAAGTGACCCTGTGAACAGAAGATCTTAACCCTGTTCTATCCTGTGCCATCTTCACACTTTTAGACACACGAAAGCCTATTGAGTCAGTCACTGTGTTAGTCCACCTGGTTGAGGGTCTTCCTCTCCTTAGTCAACCCTCCACCCTTCCTAGCATCATGTTCCTCTCCAAGGAATAGCCCCTCGAAGCAATAGGCCCAAAGTATGTGGGGCGAAACTATCCATCCTTACCTCCAGAGAGCATTCTGGCTGCACCTCTCCAAGACATATTTGTTTGTTATTTTGGCTGTCCATGGGATGTTCAGTGCTCTTTTCCAACACCACAGCTCAAAGATGTCAATTCTTCTGTTATCTTCCTTCATCATCCAGCTCTCAGATGCATAGATCAGAAAAACTATGGTCTGAGTCAGATACACCTTAGTTCTCAAACTGACATCCTTACTCCTCAATAATTTGGAGAGGTTCCTAACTGCAGAATTTCCCAGTGCAATACATCTCCTGATTTCCTGACTGCTGGTACCAAGGATGTTAACTGTGGATCTAAGTAAGATGAAGTTGTTGACAATTTCAATATCTTCTCTATCAGTCATGATGCTGCTTGTCATTCAAGTGGTAAGATTCTTTGTTTCTTTGACATTGAGATGTAATACATATTGAAGGCTGCATTCTTTGATCTTCTGCAACAAGTGCTTCAAGTCCTCCTCACTTTAAGCAAGTAAGGTTGCATCATCTGCATAATGCAGGTTATTGATGAGTCTCCCTCTGATCCAGATGCCACATTCCTCTTCACAGAGTCCAGCTTCTTGAATAATTTGCTCAGCATACAGATTAAATAGGTATAGAGATAATACAACCCTGACACACTCCCTTTTTAATTTTAAACCATGCAGTGTTTCTGTGCTCTGTTTACACAACAGCCTCCTGGTCTAGGTATAGATTTCATATGAACACAATTAAGTACTCTGGGGCTCCCATTCTTCTCAATGTTAGTCACAACTTGTTATGATCCACACAGTCAAATGCCTTTGGGTAGTCAATAAAATACAAATAGACATTCTTCTTGAAGGTACGGTTGTTCTGCTTTAACTGAAAGTCAGGTAAACTGACTTGGTTATTTTTTTATTTAGTTAACAATCTAGTGTAAGCTACTTGGTCATTTTGATTTAGTTAGCAATCCGCTGTGGGCTAAGAAGCCTCTTGTTTAAACGACTGGGACCTGGTGGGTGAGTTTTTGTATTTAAAAGTCTTTTGGGTCCTGCCTAAGAATCTCCAATTTGGATCCTCTTGTATGATGCTGTTGTTGTTGTTATGTGCCGTCAAGTCGCTTGCGACTCATAGCAACCCTATGTACAACAGCCCTAAACTCTGCTCTTTCCTGTGCCAATCGCACTGTCTCCAACACGCTCATCCCAATTACGCCAGCCACCGAATCAATTCATCTCCTAGAGGGCCTTCCCTCCTAAGCCTGCCCTCCACCCTCCCAAGCATGATGACCTTCTCCAAGGGCCAGTCTCTCCTTACAACATGACCGAAATATGTCAGATGAAGCCTCAGAATCTTTGCCTCCAAGGAGCAGCCCGGTTTGACCCTTTCCAGGATGAATCTGTCTGTTTTCCTAGCAGTCCATGGTACACTCAATACTCTTCTCCAACATCACAGCTCAAAGGCATCAATTCTCCTTCTATCCTCCTTAGTCATTGTCCAACTCTCTGATGTATAA